GTGGGCCCCTTCGCATCTGAAGAAGGCTGAACCTGTTTCTCTTAGTAAAGTTTCATTAAAGACCGTGAGTCAGACAGATGATAGCTCTGCTGCTATGTGGTGGAATGTTGTCTTTTGTTGTTGAGGCGGCCGGGAAATGATGTGGACAAAGCAAGGAAAGTAACAAATTGTTGGTGGGCAAGTTGACTGAAATGACTGTGAAGAGACTCCAACATATGACGAGGCCTTATATCATGATAGGCGGTGTTGGATAGTAAAGATATAGGAAATGAAGTCAAGCCACGAGTCAGACCTCTCATCTAAACTCGCTTGGTGAACATGGGGCCGCCCCTCCATTAGGATGACGATGGATCGTTCGGTGCAGTTGAACCCAATACTAGGGCCCTTTAATCTCATAGCCGCCTAGCAAAGAGCAAAAGTGCAGCAGCAAGCGATATTTCGACGGATATAGGCAGAGGTTGAGGTTTGGAAGTCGCTCGCCAGCCCGCTTAGGCCCCCGGTACTGCCCCACATCCCGGCGGCCCTCCAGTGGAGAGACTGCCCTTTGCGCCTGCCTCTGCGCTGTTAATGCAGCGATGCGGCTAAAAGGCGGGCAGCTATCCATGCGCGGAGGGCGGAGAGACGCGTACATGGGCGGACGACGGGCGGCCAGAGAAGGAAAAGAGAGCGCGGAGTGTGTGGTAGAGATGCAGCAGATGGTGTTGCAGGGAAATTGACGAATGTGATGCGTCACAGGAACCCGGCCGGCCATGTGGCAGCAGGGATGTAGGATAAGGACAGGATGAACGAGCAACCAAGCGAAATGAACTGCTCACCTTCTGGCTTGTCACTCCCGCCCGCCTGTTCCTGAGCGTGTGCGGGATATTATTTGGCCGTTGACGTGTGGCGTGTCACGATGACGCTGCACTTCTTTGCTGTGCGAGTCGTGCCAGACGCGAGTTGACAAGGTGATGCCAACAGCGGCTGTGCCTCTATCCCACGGTTGCAGCGTCGATGTCGGCTGGGCAGGGGCTTCTTCGGGGCCTCTAGAAGGCGCCGGCTTTGTCAGAGTCCTGTGACGTTCTATGCTGCTGTTGTATATCAGCCATGCTTTGCCCACACAGCCAGACGTGTCTTCTCTCATCCAACACCCATTACTGCGATGCATTGACGACAGATCCGCCAATGGGGCGCCATTTTTCCAGGACCACACCCTCTGCAATCAACAAAACGCTTCCGACGTACCTCTCCTTGGCTGCCGTGTTCGACGTCAAGCACTATTCTATGCACACGGCTGGAGGTAAGCCTGAAAGCGGCTTCGGGACGTCGTGGACCGTCGTCGATGGCGGAGGAGATGGAGATTGTCTCACTTGATGAAGGAGTCTGGAGCCAATGCCTTGGAGTTCTGGGCGGCAGTCTGCTTCCTGTAGTCAATCGGCCAGCTCAGAGACGGTGAGTACGCCGTCTTATACAGACTCCTCGGACTGCCAGCATTTAGAAGACTTTTACCTGTTGCAGTGGGCTGCAGGTCTCTCGTGGCTTGCCGCCCTGCGCTATTGGTCTGAGCTGAGTGTCGCCCAGTTCCAAAACGCGTCCGCCTGCTTCCCTCTTTTCTAGCATGGTGAATCACGCCGTCCCTGTGCGTGTTGCGCATCGGCTTAGCGTTGCCGCCAGCATCATGTCGCCCATGGAGCTCTGGAGCATGGCGTTCTTGATGTGCATCTCCCAGCCAGTAGCGCCGGTCCGCCCTACGGCTAGCATCGCACGATTGCCGATCCGAGGCACGACCACGGACCAACGTCATGGTATAGCTGCGTGGCCTCCGCGAGACCACCAATTACCGGTCCATCGCCCTGGTATAAGCCTGCGTGACACGCGCCGCTGCACTTTGCGGCATCGCCATCAGCTTGGCGGAAAAAGACAAGTTCCTACCTCAGGCCTCAGCAAGGACACTGTCCGTGCGCGCCTGCCCTTTTGGCAGCCACCTCCATCTACCATGAACATCACTTCCGCAACCTCCTTCCGAAGAACTCGATGCAACTCTCGATACCATCACTAATGATCTCCGAAGTTCTCCGCGGGTCAATCCGTGCCAGAATAGCAATACTCGGAAGCTGATCCTCGTGCTACGAACGGCTACGTGCAGCTCTCACATGGCTGGCACCTTAGACATCTGTCAGCTTCATAGAGAGCTGTTTACCCAGCTTTACCGGATCGTGTAACACCTCCTACCTCGATTTTGCCGTCCTCCCGGTCTGCCTTCCGAACGTTGTTACGCAAACCGGTTCTGCAGGGTTCCAAAAGGAATTTGCCGCATCCCCATCATGTGTGGCCTTGTGTACAAGATCTGCTCACACGAGATTTTCATCACGGCCGATATTTGGCTTCGAGATAACACTATATCTGTCACTCGTATATTTTTGAGCTCTTGATTATCGTGAGCTTCGAGAAATCTTATTATTTCTTTGACCCCGGTCTGTGGTCTAGCATTTCCTGCGGGATTCGAGGTTTCCCAGCACGACCGGTCGTTTGACAGGGCGCCCCTGTCCCTTACCTCGTCCCGCCTCCTAGTGGCCGTATCCGATTTGCGCAACATGCGCGAGAGCATGCGAAGGAAGGACTGCTCACTTTAGCGCCATATGCGGTCTACTGGAGATTTGATTTGTCGAATCGTGGAGGCTGAAAATGATGTGGTGCTTTCGCGGAAGCGGATTACAGCGACCGGAACCACATGACTGGACAGGTTCTTTCATCACGAGATCCGACAGTCTGGGGCCTACTCGTCAACTTGACCGCTAGATGCAAAACCTCGCCGAAGTTTTGTCCAAGTCCCACTTCATCAACCCTTTTTCAGACGCTTGCGCTTCCTTTACTCCGTTTCGCTATTCCACAACTACATGTCCATAACAGCCACTTATCGATTACCTTGTTGACCAATCGATCTCTGCGTCCGCATCATGCGTAAAGCTCAACGTATGGCCCTTCTCTTTCAACTGACGTTCAGGGCTATCGAGTTGTTTATCCGCAATTTGTTCTCGGATCTACTCCATCGGAAGCGATACTCGGGATGTACTGCTCATATCTGTCATCGACTCTGTCGACCCCGACGCATGCGTGGTCAATCCATAGCCATTTCAGATGATCGCATGGCGTGCCGCTCCTTCCCCGAGGAAAAGCAAACATGGAACTTCTACATCGGGATGTTCGTCTCAGATGACTTCCAGATTGCACGATTCCATCTGCATCAGATCTGTCTGCAAAGCCAGGCATTCCGTCGACCATACTGTTGGGAGCGCCCCGCAGCCACTTCAGGGTCGACTGGATCCCCATGCGAGAATGTCTCAAAACATTGTGAGGTGCGGAGATTAATTTCCTGTACGACGTTTCGCACATCGCCGCTCTTCCAGGTACACTGCGACCCTGCGCATGCAAGAATAGATTCTGGATTCGAGATCGTACAGGTTCAAGGAATCTCTAGCGCCTTCAGAATCTGCCACCGGCTTTTTGCATGTGCAATGAGCAGAGATTGCGAACCACGCCCACACAGCAACCAGTTGGACTGTTCGTGGACGTGACCCTAGTAACCAGTTCCTTTACATCTACCCAGACAGCTACACGGGTTCAGCCGCTAGCATGAGCGACGTCAGACTGTGGGAAGACCGCACCCAGATCTCCATGCTGTTGTGTGTTTATACAATCCAAACACATCGCCTCATTCAGTTAAGGCCAAGGCGTGCTCCAGAGAACTCGAATTGAAGGCACTTGAGCCCGGACCTCATCACTCCATCCGGCATACTGCCTACCAGTCCCTGACGGCGCATCATGCGTGACTGTGGAGGAAAGCTCGCATCACTCGAGTGCTCATGTAGCCTACCAGGGTCGACGTTTGCGAGAGATTTTGACATCAAGTGGTCAGTATGTCCTCAATCTCAGTCGCTTCACATTGCGCGTCAACCGATCTTGAAGAGAAGCATTAATATCTTGCTAATTAGGCAGAGTCCATCTATCGACTCTAGTGCAAACATCTATAGTGTCACGCTGGCAAGCACCAAGGCCTTTGATGTTGCAAGTATCGAACAAGGCAACATTTTTGGAAACGCGACTCATGAGAACGCCTCACTCGGATACCGCACCCTCGACCCCATGCGACTGGCTGGATTCCTTCTTTGCATCAAAACGTGTAGGGACATTTATTGAGAGGCGTGTGACGGCTTATGGGTACTACGTAGGACGTGAGATCGCGGTACGCGACACAGGACCCCGACACTATGGGTCCATCGTGCCTACGTCAGTGAATCGCCGGTCGTAGCTAGGTGAGACCAAGTGCGCGCGTGCCAGGTACTACAGTACATGACGGAGTCTTCTCATCGATGTTTGCTACTCAACAGCTGCTGCCAGACATTTCATCGTCCTCTTCTTAGTGCGCATCCAGCGGTCGGAGTCAGTATTGACGCGTGCACCCACGGCGGCGAATCTTGGAGTCTGTAGTGTTTGGTGAGATGCCAGTAGGGGTCGCATGACACGCTGTTGATGTCTGTGATTGGAAGCGAGGAGATGGTTCATTAAACTTTTTGATGCGCTCTTCACTATACTCACAGCTGTGTTGGTGAGTGGATTGTCTTCATGTATCGAATACTCGATATAGTGGTACAACACATGTGCGGTGATGTAAGTATTACGACGCGCAAGCATCAAGACACTGCAGAAGATTCGGTGTGTGAATTGATTTAAGAAGGCGGAAAGCTCTGAAAATTGCGATCAGATACTAGGAAACGCTCCTTCTCGAAGCTACTGGCTGCTTGCGTCATGCGGCAGTCGCGTGGTTCTAGTTGGACCTGCCTTGAACCAGCAAACATTTGAACGCAAGGGCCGCCCCTCTACCTTGTCTTTCACCTACCTGCCAGAACATGAGGTGAAAGCTCTCGGTGTGAGTGGCACTCTCTTACCTTTTCTTTCCTTTGTTCTTTTGGCACTTACCTACGTCACTGCTACAACCTGCCACTCGATAGACCTTCATCAACATGTTTCAGCGGTGCGCGCGATTCATCGGCTTTCGCAATACCGTCGTATTTACTGTCGGCTTGGGTATCCTGCTTCTCTGTAATAGCATCTTGTTGCTTTGGCAATTCCGCTCGCCTTCACAACCCGCACATCGCGACAAGCTCATTCACCATGGACCAAGCACGCTGGAATTGCACCCCATCGATGAGCTCAAGGTACACGCCCAACGCAAATTTGGAGAGCTCATCTCAGAACAAACACACGACCTATATTCGGCAGCCGACGCATACCGACAAAGGCGCGGTCGCAATCCACCACCTCACTTTGACGCCTGGTTTGAGTATGCGCAGAAACACGATGCGGTCATCGTGGAAGAACTTTTCGATCAGATCTACCGTGATCTAAGGCCCTTCTGGGGTGTTTCTGCGAATAGCATGCGTGGCTTTGCACAGCACTATGAACATCGCATCACCGTAAGGAACGGAACCGCCACCAGGACGGAAAACCAGGGTCCAGGCACGCCGACGGACCGTATGTTCGCGTGGTGGGATATGGTCAGGCGCATGGAAGGCATGCTACCTGACCTCGATTTCGCTGTCAACGTCATGGATGAGAGCCGAGTCATCGTACCGTGGGAGGAGATGAGCAACTACACCCGGGTTGAGACCCTGACGCGGAAAATACTGCCTGATGATGAGGTCATCTCCGAGTATAGTGGCTTCCAAGCTCCAGACGAGACGACTGGAGAGCCGCCTCAGGTAAACTGGATGGGATCGAGCGAGCCATATTGGGAGATGGCGCGGAAAGCATGTCCACCAGATTCACCTGGCCGAAACCAGGCCGCTGCCACGAACCTTGCTGGACCTCCTCCTTTCCCTCGGGGCTATCCAGAGCACTCGTATAAAGGCTACGTGCAGAACTGGGACTTGGCGAGAGATGCTTGCCAACAAAAGCATCTACAGGAGTCCCATGGAACATTCATCGAGCCGGTCTCGATATCGACAACTCACGCTTTGATACCCATATTCGGTGAGACGAAGTTACAGCAAAATGCAGACATTCTCATTCCTCCCGCCGCATATCTCTCCGAGGCCTTTGCAGGAGGAGACTACTCAGGTACGAATCCCGATGGCAAAAGTTGGTCGAAGAAGATCGCAGGTGCTATATGGCGGGGTGTCGCTAGTGGAGGTCGTAACAAGGCAGAGAACTGGACGCGATTCCACCGGCACCGCTTCGTCTCCATGTTAAATGGAACATATGTGCACAATCTCGAAATGGGCGCTGAGGTAGCGAACGGAGGCGAAACGTACAGTCCGCAGTCATATACGACGTATCATCTAGAGGCGACAAGACATATGAACATGGGTTCTTGGCTCGATCGGATTGCGGATGCCGGCTTCACGGATCTTCTGTGTTTCCCACAGTCTGGTAAGCGAACTTGCGACTACAATGAGCAATGGTTCGAGGCTGTAGAGAAGGTTCCCATGTCCAAACAGTTCGACTACAAACTCCTCCCAGATATCGATGGTAACTCCTTCTCCGGGCGTTATCTTTCTTTCCTACGTTCGACGTCCGTTCCCATCAAGGCGACCATCTACTCGGAATGGCACGACGATCGACTGATACCATGGCTGCACTTTGTGCCGATGGACAACTCATTTGTCGACATGCACGCCATATTGGATTATTTCCTAGGCACTGGAGACGATGATGTGGCAGTGCTGTACGGCGCTCACGACAAAGCAGCGGAAAAGATTGCACTTAGCGGCCAGGAGTGGGCTAACAAGGTCTTACGCAAAGAAGGTAAGTTCTGGCTGTACGAAGTGCATGTGAGACATATACTGACTTCGTACCCCTACCTCTGCAGACATGTACATTTACACTCTGCGGTTATTGCTCGAATACGCCAGGCTTTGCGACGACAACAGAGAGCAGCTGGGCTTCGTTGGGGACCTAGTCAAAGGCGGCTTAGGAGATGGAGCATGAAGGTGCAAAAAGAGATTCGAGGCCGTCTTTGCATGAGCGTACACATGACATGTGAACCCGACTCGTCCTTCTGCATCGACGGGACTGCATCTGACTCGACCTGTATACAAGCCATGCCTGGCGCATGTTGTGCCTGGCTGGCCGCGGCGACGCGCAGGAACATCAGCACGCATATGTGCCGCCCTGTAGGTTATGCGCATGTCAGAATCTGGAGGCACAAGATCCGAATCGTGCGAGGCGTGCGTTTACGAGCCTCATGTTGACGCCGTGGCACCTTTGTTGCGCGAAATCGGCGATGGGGCAAATTGGAAGTGTTCTGGACTTTCGAGATAGTTATGTTTTGTAATCAGAGCCTTTTCTTCGTGATGAGATGACTTGAGGTGATGGTGTGTGATCAGTAGGGTGGCAGCGACGATGTCATGGTCAGGCTGGGGGCTCAGGCCATGTTCAGCCTCACGGCGGTGCCCCTCCTAAATTTTATACTAGCGCGATTGCTCGCATCTTTCGCGAACCGTTGACGCATCGCAGCTACCCCACATCTGGCATGCAGCAAAGCCTGGCAAATATTTGTCGCGCCAGACTTTTTCCCTCTAGCAACGCTTGTTTGACGAGGCCGCTGGCGACTCTCTCCTTTCCTTTGACTCAGACACGCAGCCGTAGCCCAGTCATACTGACACAGCCTGCCATTACGCCCAGCACCCCGCGCGCGTCCACCCTTCACACACTCTCCTCCCCGCTGCGACCGCACACACGTCCGCGACACTATCTACGCAATCAGCCCATCCCACCCGGGCACAACAGTCCTAGAGTCGCAGCTGCCTCCACACTACTGCGAGACTACTTCCAGTTCGACGCTACTTCCCTCAATCCCCTCCGAAACCTCGACGCGTCGGCGCGCCCACCAGTCAGCATGGAGGACCTCACCAACACCCTCGCGACGCTCGGCCTCGACAAGGTCCCGCAAGAGCCCAACACATACCCCGCCCTTAACCCATTCGACATCTACCGGAGTCACATCACCGAGCTGCTCTCGTCCGTGTCAGGCGTAGACAAGCAAATAATATACCCCACACTAGCATGGACGGCTAAGCCAGAGCATGGAGACTTGCAGCTGGCCGTGCCTGCGCTCCGCCAGAAGAAGAAGGACATGAAGGCCTTCGCACAGGAGCTGGCAGATGCCTTCCCCGAGTCGCCGCTGGTCAAGAAGCCAATTGTCACAAACACATCCATTGGCTTCTTCTTCAAACCGGAGACGCTCACATCGCTTGTTCTGCCCATGGTCCTCAAGTCCAAGGAGGCATACGGTTTCAACAAGAACCTTGGTCTCAAGAACCCGCTCGACCCCTCCTCCGGCGCAAAGAAGATGATCGTCGAGTTCAGTTCACCCAACATCGCGAAGCCCTTCCACGCTGGCCATTTGCGAAGCACAATCATTGGTGGTTTCCTCGCAAACCTATACGAGGGCGCTGGTTGGGACGTCGTTCGCATGAACTACCTCGGAGATTGGGGAAAGCAATACGGTGTGTTGGCTATTGGTTTCGACCTCTACGGTAACGAGGAGGAGCTCGTCAAGAACCCCATTGGACACTTGTACGACATCTACGTCAGGGTCAGCAACGTACAACACGAAGAGGCGGAGAAAATGAAGGCTCTCAAGGCCGAAGCTGCGAAGCTTAAGGAAGACGGCAAGGACGCGTCGGAGCAGGAGGCCGAGGTCAAGAAGATCGAAGCTGAGGGTATCGACGAGCAGGCTAGGAAGTACTTCAAGGGCATGGTAGACGGCGAGCCTAAGGCGCTCGGCATCTGGAAGCGCTTCAGGGTGAGTAGACTGATCACAAAGGCTAGAGTACAAATACTGACCTGCGCAGGACCTGTCCATCGAGAAGTACAAGCAGACATACGCCCGGCTAAACATCCACTACGACGACTACAGCGGAGAGTCTCAAGTCAAGGACGAGAGTATGGACCTGGCTGCTAAGATCATGTGGGAGAAAAAGGTCTGCGAGGACTCAGAGGGCGCCGTCATTGTCGATCTTACAAAGCACTCCAAAAAATTGGGCAAGGCCGTCGTCAAGAAGAAGGACGGTACTTCTCTGTACCTGACCCGAGACATTGGCGCTGCGATTGAGCGTGTCGAGAAGTACCACTTTGAGTATGCCAGCCCATTCCTACAATTTCCTACCTCTTGCTAACTGCGTCACAGCCGCATGATCTACGTCGTCGCATCACAACAAGACCTGCACTTGGCCCAACTCTTCAAGATCGAAGAGCTCATGGGAAGGAAAGATATCTCAGACAAGTGCCAACACATCAACTTCGGCATGGTCCTTGGTATGTCCTCCATCCCATCTCATACATCCCGTCCAGGCCACTAATAACGCACAGGTATGTCGACCCGAAAAGGTACAGCCAAGTTCCTCGACGACATCCTCCGCGACGTCGGCGACAAGATGCACGAAGTAATGAAGACGAACGAGACAAAATACGCCCAAGTCAAAGACCCCGAGCAAACCGCCGACACACTAGGTATCTCCGCCGTCATGGTGCAAGACATGAAGGGCAAGCGCATCAACAACTACACCTTCGACATGGACCGCATGTGCTCCTTCGAAGGCGACACAGGCCCATACCTGCAATACGCACACGCCCGTCTCTGCTCCATATACCGCAAGGCCTGCGATGCGGACCCCAGCCTCGCTGACCTAGACCTCACATCCGCTGACTTGAGCTTGCTGAAGGAAGACAAGGCTGTGGAGTTGGTCCGCCAGTTGGCGTCGTGGCCAGACACTTTCCTCAACACGCTCAAGACGCAGGAGCCCACTACAGTACTTACGTACTTGTTCAAGATGGCACATGCGCTCAGCAGCAGTTACGACCACTTGCAGGTTGTGGGCTCGGAGAAGAACGTCATGATTGCGAGGTTGGCGCTGTATGTTGCTGCTAGGCAGGTCTTGTACAATGGTATGAGGGTGCTTGGACTCAGCCCTGTCGAGAGGATGTAGAAGGCTGTACATAAAGGAGATGTATCGATTGCATGGATATGAGAAATGAGAAATGAAAACATGTTCAAATCACAACTCTGCGTAAAATAGCATCGCGAGGCATAGTGAGGCAGCGCAGTTCGAAGAGCACAGTGAGGTCGGATGGGGGTTGATCGATTGCTTGTTGTTACATACAGTGCATTTTCTAGCTAGCAATTACCAACTTGTATACTATGTAACATGACGATATGTTGACAGTCTGCCGACCAAGAGTGTGAGACAACAAGCTGGACCAGCTGCCCAACTTACAACGCCATCCGATATCTTGTAATGTTGCCTCTGTACACTGCCGGCGGGATATGTACAATACAATACAGTCCGTCTCAGTGCTGGGGTTGAGAGGTTGTCTATTTGAGTGGAGTTTATGTATGGTTATATGTTCATGATATGTCGTGAAGGTGAGATGATTGAGAGCGAGTCGTGATCGGGTGGTGTGAAACTGGGAACGACCAATGGTTCAATGACTCCGGGGAAGTGCTGAGAAACAATGCTGGAAAAACGACGCTAGAACGCTGCAAACAAAAGGAAACAGTGCGCCTTAGGAGAGGGTTGCTGAGTATGCTCGGTGAGGCGTTAGGCCGCGGGCGAGGGAAAGCGTGGTTGATCGAATGCGCTAGCCCCCTGTCATCTCGAAGATCCGTTTGACACCGCGTCTAGACACCCGAGCAACAGCTGCAACAACTCCGACCATGAAGGCGGCACGGAAAGACAGTACAAGAAGACTCAATGCAAGAACACAGACGGCCCACCCCGTCTCGTCCGGTTGCTAGATGCCATTGGCAACAGGCGGCCCTCCCACCCGAGGGTCCCCAGGAGGCAAACCTGGGACTTTGTGCGGGTGTGGATGCGGAGGATGCGGGTGATGCTGGCAACCATGTGGACAAGTAGCTATAGGTTCGTCGTAATCGTCGTCGTAGTACTCGTCCTGTGGATCCAGCGACCCTTCATCGTCGCGTCGGTCGTAGCCGCCGGGCGGAGGATTTTGGTTGTGCTGAGCGTTGTTGGCATTGTTCTGTGCCTTTTTGCTCGCCTTCTTGCCCTTGCGTCCCTTCATCCTGGCCTTCTCCAACAGCCGCCGCTTCTCTGCCAGACGTTTGCGCTCCTTCCTGTCCTTGATCTCATACTGCCGGATCAGAGCCATGGGAGGATGGCCAAATATGTCTTCGTACTCGCAGAATTCACATATCCAGGGCTGACTTGGCGGGTTGTGGAAGTTGGCGTACTCTTGCTGAATGCGACGCTTGCGGGCAGCATACTCGTACAGCTTGGTAGCACTTCGTCGCGGCTTTCGAGGCGGCGGTGCCTGTTGCGGTGGTGGAGGTCCGGTCGGACGTCGTGCAGTCCCATTGGGCAGGGGCGGTGGGGGATATGCACCTGCTCCATTCATGTTGGGGCTGGTCTGAGTGCCCTGGGTAGACACCATGGGCGCATCGGGGCGCACGGGGGGCCGTGAGCGGGCAGCTTGAGGGTGGGGTGAAGGAGAGGCGGCGGCATTGGGGTATGCGCCAGGCGGTTGAGGGTACTGGCCGTTTTCCTGGCCCGGCCAGACCATCTTGTTGGCCGAGTCGGAGCCACAGGTGAAAGTGAATTGGGTCTTGCTGGCAGTATGCTTGGCGGCTTCCTGCTGCAGAAGGCTCACGTTTTCGTTGCCCGGGGGTGGTGGGGTCGCGTTTGCGTTGGCAATGGCAGTGGAGATGATGCCGCTTTGCTCCGGAGGTCCTAGAAAACAAATCGTTAGCGCACGGACTCTTTTAGTGGTAAAGACGTATCAATTCCCGAGGTGACACCGTACGTTTGCTGTTCCCTTTGGCGTTGGCGAGATTGGTCGAACTAGCCAACACTCGCCTTTCCGAGCGTCCAGAGCCAGATCGGCCGAAACGCCCTCTGCCTGCGCCTGAGATACCGGTTCCGGAACTTGTCGCGTGTTGGGGTGTCGAAGGCGCCGAGCCGTAGTAACGCGCGATGCCATCCCCGTCGTCCATGGCGCCTGCCTCGTGAACTGGTGCGACACCCATGCCAGTCAGATCGGCGGAGAGGCTCGCGTGGTGTGACCCGTTGCTACCCATGTTGGGGATTTTGCGCTTCTTCTTGTTGTTCGTGTTCTCAAATGACTCGTAGCCATCTACCGAAGACGCAGGCGAACCTGGTTTGCGATAGGCACCAGTCGCACCCGCTGCCGGCTTGCCTGACGCTTGTCTGCTGTACTGATAGCTCGGGGACGACGGCAGCGGTCCGTTTCGGTCGTCCTCTTCCTCCTCGCTCTCGACCTCGGAATGGGTATGGCCACAATGACAGGCGTGGTGGTCATTAGCCCCAGTCCTGTGAGGTCTGACGCGCTCATCGGCCGTGTATGGCGGGTAGTTGAAGAGCGGCCCTGTAGAAGGCGGGTTGTGCGGGTACACGATCGTCTCGGCCTGCTCGGGGGACAAGCGGGCGCGTAGAGAACGGGCGGGCAGAGGGCGAATGGGCCGGTCGGGGTACATGGAGGACGATGTGTCGGGCGAGGAGCGCAGCGGCGAAGAGCGGTTCCACTCGTAGCCTGCGAAGGGGAGAAGCGATGTCAGATATCTGGAGAGACCGGGGAGGAGGCTCAGACGAGGCATGTTGGTGCATATGGTGGCAGAAGGAAATGGTGAAGAGCGTTGCAGGCTGCCCGCAACGACTTCCTTTACTTACCCGCAGTCGCCGCTGCCATGGTGGCAATCCTTCCTCAACGTCCGATCACCAAGACTGTGGGGCGGACGTGACTCCCAGCAGTCCTACTATATCCAAGTCGGTCCCTCTCGTGCTGTGTTGCCCGTATTAGCAATCAACCACGCGCAGTCTGTATCGCCGGTGTACAGCCGCCTGGGGAACACGGGGTCTCTCCCAAACAACGTCGAGACGGGGTGTGGCGGTACTGGAGCTCTACGCACCTTTTTCGAGGGGTTTGTGTGAGGGACGGTACTGGTGGCCAGTTAGCGGAGAACCCCTCTATTGCTCGGCGATGCTAACACTGACAGTATACAGCTGACAACAGCTCCAAAAGAACCAACAGCGACCAGATCACGGGGGACAGAATGTGTCTCGGAGGTGGTTGGAACGAGTGACAGCGTTGATGATGCGTCAATGCCGAAGACGTGGGATTGGGGTTCGCCCGCCGCCAAGCCAACACAGGCACTTGGGCTCAACTGATGTGGCCTCGGGCTCGCCAAAGCAGGGTCCGTACTAGTGTATATCGCGATGATTCGAGTGACAAGGTCGCAGAGCAGATACAACGTGTTCCGCGACGACGACAAGAGACAACAGAGCAGTGTGTAGGTGTATGCACAGCTGTCGGAGGATGGCGACGTAGGCTTGCATGCAGGCTGTCTTGCAGTGACCGTGCTGGTGGCGCTAGGGCGAGCAGGGGATTGGGAATTGTACCTGGCCGTCCGACAAATGATAGCCATGCTTGCCCTTCTCGCCTCTTTCCTCGGAATTCTTTGCTTTCTAATCAATCATCTCGAGAATTATCCAAATGCCGTTGCGCTTACGTCTCAAGCCCCGTGTGCTGCCCGACTCGGAACACGTCCACGGTATTGGAGCCTGCCGAGACGTCCGCCCGCACTGTCACCGCCCATGCTTCGTAGTGAGGAGCAAAGGCCACACGCACAAGACTTGGTGCACCATGTTCCATCTCTTGCAAATAGGAGTACCTGACTTCCTCCGCAAATGTATGTGTGTTGCCTCGCACGTAGCCATAATACATCGACTACGCCGAGTAGATGTACAGGGACGATAAGTTATCCAAAGGGATCGGGAACTAAGTCGCTCTCAGTCATATGCTTGGTATCGGATTTGCTCCGGCACCCCGTCGTACCTGCATCCGTGAGCTGACCCCGCAGGCACATGGCAAGGCCCAAACACCAAACCCAAGTCACGTTCACACTCCATGACACTCCACAATGTCCATGGACCACAGCCGGGACCCTTGCCCTTGGGTTGCCCTTAGTGATTTTGGCGGAGCGTTCTGCATGGGGGCAAGTCCTATCGATTGCTTGCAGCTGGCTACGTCATCCTCGGTTTCATAGCTAACAACTCCTAGGCCATCGGAGGGGCAGTTTGGCATGGCATAAAGGGGTTCCGGTACTTACTTCACCACCACGGCGTATAGCCAAATAGTGCTCACAGCTCCAACAGCAATTCTCCGCATGGCGAGCGACGCGTCGGTGCCATTGTCGCCCTGAAAACGCGCGCCCCTGTCCTTGGTGGTAACTTTGGAGTATGGGGTGGCCTCTTTAGCAGCTTCGATTGCGCTGTGAAAGGCATCAGGTGCGGAGGCTCCTCTCTGGCCAACGAGGAACCCAATTCGCGACGAACAACCAGCCACGTACTAATTGGTACCTTTGTAGGAAGAAGGAAGATCCGTGGAATGCCATCATCGGGGGCTTCTTCACTGGAGGCGCGCTGGCGGTTCGAGGCGGGGCCAAAGCCATGCGCAATAATGCTATCGGTTGCGCCATCCTCCTGGCCGTCATCGAAGGTGTCGGCATCGCGTTCAGTAGAATGCTGGCTGAGAACACTCGGCTCGAAGCACCGCCACCACCGCCGCCAACTACCTGAGGAGCAGCTGTCGCCGCGGACCAGAACAACTGGCACACCCTTTGGGTGTCACACATTCGCGTCGCTGTCACTTGATCTTATCACCGTATTGGCGTCTACGGAAAAGGGTACAAATCGTTACCCGGTAATTTTCTTTGAGTCGGGATTTATGAACTGTACTGGAATCAAGGGCGGCGTTGTCTCTCTGGGGAACAATGAGCTGTCCTCGCGCATGCAAGCCAGGAACTTGGCTATGCTTGCCTTTTCAGAAGTGGTATACATTTCGTGATGAAACCACCGCCGCGTCGTCCCTCCAGCTGTATCTTAGGTACGTCCTTCAGTCCTGGTCACTGATGCCCTTTGCAGATTCTCAAGTCAGCTATGCTTTATTTCGCTGT